CGGTAATTACGATGTAGGTTTGAGGGTTCAGTATGTNATAAGTGATATAGAATATGACGGGATCGTAGGTACTGGGCGACATGAACCGATGACATCTGATAAGAGAAGATAAGGGGTGTAAGAGAGCAAGAGCCACCTACCGATCAAAATCCTAACGTCATCGGTAATTACGATGTAGGTTTGAGGGTTCAGTATGTTCCATTCGGTAAGACGAGGTGCTAGAGTAGGGTGAAGAATGGCTTATGCAGTGATAGGGACCCACTGGTGGCACTACGATAAGCAGATACAGGAACGAAAATTCAGTCCGGCACTCGGCTCTTACAGTAATCCGGCACGTGTTAACACGCAAATTTACCCGTCACATATACGACGCGTCGAAAAAGGGCTTTGGGCAAGGACACAGGGTTTTGTGGTGGGTTAAGCCAGGGGGTTCCTGTAAGAACCGAGTGCCGGACTGAATTTTCGTTTTAGATAAGCAGATGAGAATTTCGTTCATTTCTTGCTGTTAGATTACGACCGCGACCCAGAGAGGTTGGTGATTTAATGAAGGATGCTCTTTGTTCGATGTCATTTGCAACAAAACTCAACCGACCGCCAGTAATTTTGGATTCTCAACAGATGATATCTCTGTAAAGAGAAGGGTCCATTGATGACGGAATCTGATAATGATGTTTTCACCGCTCGAAATATTTGTAATCACCGCCCAAGGTTTTGGTTGTCTAAGTTGAATCTTTGATGGGTATTTATTTTCAAGAAGGAGCAGGAGATCGACACTTCCAATCAAAAGCGTAAGCATTTACTTATACTGAATACCATTTGCATTGCTCTGTTAGTCCTGTGTCAATGTTTGTGTACAGGGAACTACTATTTGTTTCAAAGAAGGAGTGGAAAGTTGGCCGANTACTACAACTTTGTCAAAGAAGGAGGGAAGCCCGTTCTAATATACCCATCACCACATCACGGCAAGTAATTTTGTGGACCTTCCCAGACATGTTACAATAACCTTCCCTTACAGCTGGCAAACCACACAGTATGAGGTTGTACATAGGCGATCGTATATCCTGTTTCTAACCAGGCGCTTCTTTAGATTGAAGGGTGGTACGTTCACAATAGCAACCAAATTTCCCAAACCCGATCTCTTCAGACACTTTCTAATAGAGGCACTGACCTCATCAGGAATAAATGGTAGTACAAAAGGAGTCTTTCCCTCAATCGAGATACTGCCATGTCTGAGGATCACGCCACCAGAAGAAGCTCCACGTGTAGTTGGAAAATTGTAGTAGCCATTCGACGGAGCTATATCGCGTACTATTTTAAGCGACTCTTCTTACTCATCCTCCCCTGTGCACACCTTCTTAGCAACGTGGAACATATTCCTAACGACCGCTCGTTTTATGTAAAAAGGATGAGCTGAGTGACAATGGACAATGACGTTCTTATTGCAAGGCTTTCTGTACCACTTCGTAACAATCATGTCGCCCCGTAATCTCACTTGAACGTTTAAGAAAGGAAGCCAATTTCCGGTCGGTTTTTCCCGTGTTAACTTGATGTGCTCTGATTGTGAATTTAGTGGGCCGAAACACATCTACTTCTTTCTGCGTCGCACAAACTATGAAGCAATCAGCGATATATCTGCCGTAAAGATGTTCTAGTACAGGCGCTTCAATCTTGGCCATAAATAATCTGGCTAAAATTGGCGCCAATAGCTGCCCCATAGCCAACTTCTAGTCTGTGCGAAATACCTCCCTGACCACTTGAAAATGTTACAACTAAGGCACTTCTTCACAAGTGTCACCAGTTGGGATATAGACAGCCCTCGCATACAATTACCGTTCTGATGCTGAATAAGAAGCTCGAATACGGCTTCCATAGCAACCCCATTGCTGACATTTGTACAGAGAGCTTCTACACATACCCCAGTTGTCAGTGGTCGGCTGCTACCATCACTTGCTGGGTGGTTTCGAAGAATCCACTGAATTACTAAGAGTGGTTCTCTATCGATCACCTGCGTGCCCTGTGGGGGTCTTGAACTTTAGTGGGTTGATCGGACAGTCACAGATCGTTACAATCCATTCAGGCTCTGAAGGAGGCGATTCCGCCTAGACGTCAGCCTAATGAAGCATATTTATAAACCTCGTGAAGAGTTCAAGACAACAATGAATTCAGTAATACAATTATGCCGAGGTTCATAGAAGGACGTTCATGGAGCTCGCCTTTATGTTGATTCGATGTGGCAGCAGAGATAGGCAAGCTTGTAGCTCAGTTCAGATCACGAACTCCGAGTGCCTTTAGCCCAGTCAGCCCCGTATCTTTTTCAGAAGCACAACCACGATTCCCACCACCAGTTTCAACCTTGAGACGTGAAAATGTGCGGTTAGCAAGAGCTCGGCGTTTGTAGCTACAGGCACTTTTACCTGGTGTGCTCAACTGAGCTGTACGTGAAGGCTATGAAGAACAAATTCATATTCGTGTTGCCTTTCAGTGTAGCTTGATATCCTTTGCAGGGGGTACGGAACATTCACCCGTGAACGCGGCAAGCTGCGCGGCGAAATTGATAGCGATTTTAACGGCTTTAGCACCCATTATTGGATCCTAATTTGGAGTAGATTAGTAGGACTAGCTGACCATACTAGTCTACTTTAGTTAAAATTGTGCCCTAATATTGGGAGCTAAAGTCGTTCGAATCGCCACGATTTTCGCTGCGCGTAGTTTGAATCGCAGGAATGTGCCCGAACCCCTTCTTGGAGTGATGTGCACCGCTCCTTTACTTTATTACACGATTCGATCTAGCGCCTTTCTTTAAAACCTCATGGCGTACTTTGTTTACATGAAAGGTTTTACAAACAAATTCGATTCTTAAGGGTCAAATGTACATTGGAAAGAGAATGATAATCGAGGGCATGTAACTTCGCTCTCTGTAGTAGGGCCACTTTTATAGTCAATAGTCGAAATCGAACTCAAAGAATCGTAATCCAGCTCACCGAACATCGATTTTGACCACTGCTATTTATCATCCTTCAGACCATGCCTAGAGGTAAAGAGATCTGCTAGCTCTACTCATTTAAACGGGTGCGTTTCGCTCCACCCGTCTGTCTGTCAAAACTAGGTTACGTCGCAGGCGGCGCGACGGCCCCCGATTTTTGACAAACGTCGCATTTTTCGGTGGGGCATAGGGTGGGCACTTGGTCCACTGCAGTCTGCCTGGAGAGAAAACTCGGACTAATGCAAATCATTCGCTCCACTGACACTCAGAGGGACTGTAATGCCATCTCGAGATCGCAGTGGACCACGCCGCACGCGAAGTGGGCGGGGTGACCTAGTTTCAATGTACGCACGAAACGGACTTTACTCCGATAATTTCAGAGTGCTGAGTACGTTTTCAGGTGGTGGGAGCCCGAATAGAACGAAATTCCAGTACGAAAATCCGATTCCCACAGTGATTTTATGGTGTTGTAAAACAAGGACGTGGACGCGCAACTTTAATTGGGCAAGACAGCTCTCCGGGCTGTACTCCGAGCCCGTTATGAACTTCCTACGAGTACATGATATGATATGATATGATATGTTATTTATTTGGTGGGGCAAATTGGTATTAGTGAATGCTTTGGGTACATTGATAAGAAGTCTCAACTTTGAGCATGTCTTTCTTGCTCTTCCGACTTTCTCACAACCCCATTGAATTATTTTCAAATCAATCTAAATAATAGTATCTGGCTCGATTTCACTGAAAAAAAAGGAAAATCCATCCCAGTTAAACATCGAACAACAAGTGAGATTTGCAAAAGAGCGATGTCTAAAAGGCAAGTTGGGACCCTCCGCCAAGCTCAACTTTTCTTAGCTCAACGAACTTCTTGAGTAGACTCAGCCATCAATGGATTACTGACCAAACATTCGACAGCGCTATGATGTCAACAGTTACCGACGACCTTCTACCGTTTATACACTACGAGCTTCGAAAAGGAAGAAGAATCAAGTGGGACTTCATAGAAACATACGTATGAGGGGAAATTAACAGTCTCACTAGCTAATGTTACCTTTACCTTCTCATAATCAGACAAGTAGGGTACCAACTAGCTGGGACCGGAGGAATGATAAGTGCGGTGACTCTAGGTGGGTACTAATCAACTCAGGGTTCGATCCGAGGATCATGACAGTGTATCTACATACATTAGAACAAAGAGAAAAGGAAAAGGGAAGAAGTGTAAGTTTTGTCTAACTAATCAGTTTCGACTACTTGGTGAATCGCTTCAGACTATTGCTCTTTGCGAGTGAATGCAAGGACTAAACCTGTATGCGATTGAAAACAGTCTTCAGCCAATATAAGAATCAAAAACTAACAACTATTGGTTCTGTTGTGCACTGTTAGGCTGGGAGAAATAATAGGTTAAAGGCCCTGCCTACCCGCTTCCCTCTGCACGGATACGCCGTGCTTGGCGCTCTATCAAGAAGTCCTACCTAAGCTCCGACTAGCAATACGTGACCATTACTAAGCAGCATATAGCGAAGGATCAGAAGTATAACATTTGAAAGTTTTTCATTTCAGTAATGTACAGAAAGAAGCTTTCTGCAAGGCAGCGCAGTGAGCGCTTTTGATGCGAAAATGAAAAGTCAGTTGACTGCTTGGTTAAAAGTCATATAAGAGACGAAGGAATGAAAGATGACCGAGTGAATAGGGAGCTATTCAGATTGACATGATGTACGGGATAAATCCCAAAAATTTACAAATCAGACGACTTAGAGCATTCGAAGAAAATATGGGTGCATAGTGTTGAGGGCAAATGTGAATTCACTACAGGGGACAAATACCACGAAATTATTTAGGGGACAAGATAAAAACGGAATTTGTTTCCGTTCATTCGGGTATTCATAGGACTTCGTAAATCAGACAGATTTTCCATCGGCACTTTTCGAGGCGCTCTCTGCGCTTCCTTTCATCTTCTCCGCACTTTTCTCTCCACTTCTCTCTCCACTTTTCTCCGCACTTTTCGAAGCAAAGCCTCCTACTTTCTTTTCTTCACTCTTCTGCAACGAAAAGATATTCTGAAATGGTTATTCTAACTTCATAAGAGAGCACAATTCATGAATGAATGGCTCAACTTATGAAGTGCACCCACAGTCGTATCCAGACGTCGCGCCAAACACTCGAAGGGGTGAGTAGGCGGAATGCGTGCAAACGCACTGCAAGGCTGTGCGTAGCGGAGCTCGCGTTTTCACAGCTTCCCGCTGAGGACGTGAGGTCTGAACGCGACCGAAACACGACTTATGTTCTTATCGTTCAACACATAAAAACTGACCAAATGATATAAGACCAGTTTGTAATCAGTACTCACTTTGCAGCAGCAGCGAATTATACAAATAATGCAGCAGCAAGCAACTATGACCATAACAACAAGTAAGAGAATCAGAAAAATAGTAAGAAATATATCTCCGGCCTTCCTTAAAAAGGTCGTTGCAGTTAGGTAGAGTACATGATGAATTGCTTAATTCGAGCGTGAGTCGACGATTACAAGTAGCTGTTCTAGTACATAAGCCATCGTCAAAGCAAAGCCGGCTCGACATGCGTTGAAGCTTCTCATTGAGGCTGTATAACCAATGATGAAGAGCTTGAAGGCACAGTTCACGATGAGAATGGCATCTGATTCTTCCTCCTAGGTATACCCAGTGGCCCGCAAGGGTAACAGGACGGACGCTGTCGAGCCCCAAAACTCAACAGCTGGAGCATAGTGGTAGAACCATTACCAGATCGCCCGGACTCCCGCTTTTCGATCGATATCGCGTCAGACAAGCGTCGAAGCGATACAGGTTGCAATATTCGCTCAGGGACCCACACATTCAGCTGATCGCCGAGTAATGAGGCGATGTTTTTCCGCTATTCCTATATTATCTGTTACCAGTCGGATCGCCCAGCTAACGCCAGGCTCTCCTCCTTCGTGTGTCAAACACCCTATCCCGAGAAATGTTGAATTGAAGGAATATTTTCCCTTTTTCGGAATTTATATCCGCGCCTAGCTGAGTGAATAGCTGAGTGAGAATATGAAACTGAAACAGAACTCGAATAGATTATGTCGTCGTAGCATATCACATAGGCTTTTTTTGAAGAAAAAAGACATCATGTCACAACAAATCAAGACATCAAATTCATCCCAAAGACATGTCCTGATGATGGCTAATTTAACTGACAATTAAAGTCTTGGATGGCACTCACAAATGTTGTCGAGTAATAATGCCGCACGTTATCAGATTTGGTTATCAGCGGACTTTTCTTCGGTACGGATTTATCACTACTTGGAAATCCCAGATCATTGGCGGTCGGATGAGCAAAAGAAATCATGATGTGTCATTGAGTCAAAAGCGTTGCTGTATAGCGGTCGTAGTTCAACAACGAAAAATAAACCAAATTTTCATCTCTTCATGGAGATTTCCCGTTGATCGGTTCCTATCACTGCATCTACCTGTCCTATTGAATGAAAAATATCGAAGAGCAATGTTTGAATACCAAGGTATGACTATTGACATGAAGGGCATAACGAACCTATTCGCTCTAGCCTTCTAGGTCTTGCCCGTTTGTTATCAGTCCTTGTCACCCATCACCTTTGGGCCCTTCGTATTCTACACCACCTATCAAATTGTTCTACCGCTTATATGAAAGACATTGTAGACCTAATGACTCCCTTCTTCTATGGCTTGTTGTTATCATTATCACTGAACATCTACGGTCCCTTCCTAATGAATATCCCACATAAAGTACCAATACTCCACCGTAAATACGAAAGAGGTACCGGATCCCGCGGCTCTTGCCTTCTGAGGTGCTTTATCGACTCCTTCCAGTTGTTATCACCATCAGTGTTCCCGTCCTGTCGCCTGTGCTCCTACCAAGTTTGAACGCTCCAGGTCTACGTGGACAGAAGATATGAATTTGGCTGCTTTCATAATCCGCCGGCAAGCGTGCCGGCGTGCCGGCATGCCAGCCGAGGCAGAGCTAGGGGGAGGAGGGAGGCAGACGGTCGGTCGAACCCCTTCGAAAGGCTGAAAACAAAGAAGAACAAGGTCAAAAACCAAACAACCAGAGGCTTGTGCAAATGGTTTTTGATCTTGTCTCTCATTGTTTACAGCCCTTCGAAGGGGCTTGGGCGCGACACGACCGCGTCGACCGGCGGTCTGCCTCCCCCCTCTCTCCTAGACCTGCCCCGGCTGGCACGCCGGCACGCCGGCGTACTATGAAAGCTGCCTTTGCGGCCTAAAATTTTTACCGTGCACGCCTCGCCCTATATGAACGGAGTTCGGTCCTGCCACCAACCATAAGTGTCCTCGTCCTGTCCCCCCCCCCCCCCCCCCCCCCCCCCCC